CCTGTTTGCTGTTCAACAAATAAACTCCTAAAGACATGGCTAGGAAAAGCCAAGTATTTTTGCATACGTTATAACTCGAAAACGAAGCAAAAACCAACAACAAAAATACAGGGCCGTGTTTTTCTATTACATTGAAGACCACATGCAAAAATCGTCACTTAGCATGGTTTTGCACTCACCCCTTCAATTGTATAGTCACAACTAGACCACAGGTAGTCCCTCTTTTGCTTGGCGCGTCGGTCGTGACCGTAAATAAAGCGCAAGCAAAAAATGGCCATGCGAAATCCTCGAGGTGAAAAGCGCGTGAGGGCATTGCTTTTCCTCTCAGTTTTCTTTCGCGTCATGCAGGACGGACTGAGCAAGAGAGGGACTACTCGTAGTCCAAGACAGATGACCATTCAGATCAGCGAAGCACTTTACCGCTTTACCGCCTCATATACCTTTTTTTCTTTCTCCTTAACTCTTTACTAGCTGTACGTCAGTGTATTACCAAGTAATCATTCTGGAGACCATATCTTACCCAGTAAAACCAATGCACAAGAAAAAACAAAAAAAGTTGTAAATATATTATTTGAGACAATTAATATTTACAATAACATTAGATTCAGATACCTTTCCTATGTCTGGCATCTCCACTGAGAATTTGTAGGTCTTTCCCTCTTGAAATGTATCCGTTGCAGTCCCTGATGGGCGGAGCACAATTTTTGTACTCTCTTCATTTTCTCCACACAGTTGCAGGTAGAGTTTGGTATATGGATCCAACACTTTACCCAGATGGACAGACACTGTGTAACCCTTGTCTAAATTTAAAAAAAAAAAAAAACAGTCATAAGATTAATGCTGATTGAAATTTCATCAACTTATATTAGTTAGTAATTACTCAATTTTTAATTTGTGATTCTTTCTTTTCAAGGGAGGGGAACCACCATTCATTTTTCATCTTGTATATGTACAATACCATACTAGGGTATTTACCTAGGAATAAATGTCAACAAATCCAGATGGACAATTAAAAGTGCAAGATTTAATTATCTATAAACAGAACAGGTAAACACTGCTCACACGTCTGGTCACATATGGAAATTTTCTAACAATATTTCAACCAGCCAATAGTTGCTACATGTACTTGTTTACATTTGCACCAAAAGGCATAACTATAACTATAAAATGAAAATCAGGGATTAGGACTGGTAAGTTTTCCTACAGTGGCTACCATGATTTTTTTAATCATTAAAGGCACACACTTGTGAATATCCTCTGTAAAATTTACAAAGTTTAAGACAGGGAGGCTCCTCGCCGAGATCCAATCCCTTACTCTTTTGTGTACATGTACCATTTCTACAGAAAAGGTATCCCTTTAATTGAAAAGAGGTACCCCCTTCACATGCATTCATAAATGGCCCATATTAAAATGCAGGAATAAATCAGCAAAAAAGGAAATCTTAATTCTTGTGATTCTCATGTAGTGCTATGATAGAGGCATCAGGTGTGTCTGTTCAAAATATTTTAATTAACGGCCCTTTTACTAAATGACAGATTTCCCTAAAGAAGCCTTGTATAAACTTCAACTGCTGGAATCCGTATATTTACCCTCTCAGGGCTGTCATTAAGGGCCATAATACATAACACCTGTTATGGCTGAGTATGCTTGATTTTCCCTTCATGCCACAGGTGAAATTGCCTGATGATAGAATTCACCAACAAAGTAACAAGTTTGTTACGGGTGTGGAGAACAAGGCTGCAGGTGACTCAAAACTTAATGACAGTCCTGCCCTCTTATAAACCTGAAGCCTGAAAAAGGCACCCCTTATAGGCAGAGCCCCCCAAAAAAAAGGCCATTACAGGGAGTACCCCTCCACACCCCGCTGGGAAAATTTTAGTCTTACTTGGAGCAGGAGTTGATGAATTCAGATCCTTGACTGTCATTTCTGTCAGCTTATCCTGTGCCAGCCAACAGTTGCAAGGAAATGTATAGTGGTTACCGTACGACGGCACATCAATCTCAACTTCTTTCACATGAAAGCCTGTTCCATACTCCATGTGGTCATGACTGAGTTTAATTCTCTCCACCTACAAAGGTTTAATTATGAATAAATTAGATTCCATCTTGTTCCAGTTCAGAATTCTCTTTTCCTCAAAAATCTCATTACTCGTTTTCATTTTGCATTTAACAGGTACATGTACTATAGTACTGACAGAACTTTTACATCAATCCACTTCTACATCCATGTGGGTTGTGTACAGTGTTATCTGCTGTAAATGCACGAATCAAAAAAGTATTGGAACATACAAATTTTCTTTGTAAATATTTTATGACTCAACACGTTGCGGTATATGAATGTAGTTTAAATAACTTTCACATCAAGATGATTTTAAATTATACAATCATGGACAAAAGTCTTGGGACAAATTTGCACTTTCGGCACTTTTGCGCACATGCCAGAAGCGAATACAACTTCACCTGCCTAACCTTGCCCCCTACACCCCCATACAATGTTAAAAACTAATGCCTGCAATTTCACCTGATTTTCATCATTGTGTTGGGTGGGGAGGGGTGACAGCAACGCGTTTTTAAAGGATATAGCAGCATTTTTTTTTTTCAAACTTCAGTTTTAAAACACAGATAATTCGTTACATTACATAAGTGTCCAAAGGACTTTTGTCCACGATTGTAGTTTCATTGTATTTTTCTTCACTCTAGATTTATTACAGTACCATAATTTTCAAACACAGAAAAGTACCAATCAAACTAATTTAATCTCAAAATCATTTTGACATGAAATTCCAACTGAGCTATGAAGCCACACATTGGGAGCGAGGTCCTAATGTGTGGCTTCATAGCTCAGTTGGTAGAGCAATGCACCGGTATCGGGGAGGTCACAGGTTCGAATCCCATTGAAGTCCTGATTTTTTTCAGGCTTCTTCTTTCCAATTGCTTAAATTGGAAAATTTACTGCGACGATCATTCTTCACTTTCATTGTCCATGAGAGTGGCTCCAGAGTCAGAGTATGGCAAGTGTCGAAACATCAAGATTTTATAGTAGGTCAATTAGCTCGAACATTTCCTCAATTACAAAGCCAAAATAATACTTAAAATTACTTGAAATTTCTAAAAACAATCTACTGGCTAAAAAGAATTGAATTCTGAAAGGTACTATACTACTACATGTACTCACCTGCTTGACCATTGTGCCAATAATTTAGTTAGCTGTAGTTTGTGTAACAATTATTGTTACACAAACTACAACTAACTTTCAATTTGCACAGACACGTTATTAAGTTACATGCAATTAGTATAGCCACTCAGTTTTATTTTATTGGAAATCCATAAATCTGATTGGTTCTCTTAACTTTTTCTATTTGCTGATAGACAACAGTAAGGACACTTGAACCATGAACACTTGACATTATTTTGTACAATTTTTTCAGTGACTGCACTTAGAATAATTAGCTCTAATCATATGATGTGTGTAGTGCCAGCATCTTTTAAGTATAAAACCACTTAATAAATACTTTGGTTAAAAGGAAGGGCCTGCGTTCTATGGTAACTAAAAAAACATGCAAAAAATATCAAGTCTTCACGGTTTGAGCGCCCTTACTGTAAAAAATACACAAAATTGTACGTTTTGTGCTGTAATATTTTGGGTTGTCTACACATACTAAAACACTCACCCTTGTTTTCTATGCTTCACTGAATATTCACTCATAGAAAACTTGGGCTTGTAGTCTAATTATTATTAAATGTACAAAGTACCTTTCCAATATCCAGGGTGGTGACCATGAACTTATACTCCAGACCAGTTTCAAACCGGTTTTTCTCATCTCCTGCTTGCCGCAACTGTATTTTTGCTGTATTTCCTTTAGATCCAAACAACTGGATATACACGTTTCCATCTGCACCACTGCCCTTTACTTCACCAAGTTTCATTTTCAGATTGTACATGACTGGAAGAAGATTTTCAGTATGTTTCTGAATTTTTACGCAATGATGTACATGTAAAGATCTGGTCTGATCATTATTATTATTCTCGCGTGTGATTGGTTCTTACTGTCTTATGATCTATTGGAAGACAGATGTAAACAAGTATATTATAGATTCCAACTGCTCTGCATCTGTTCCGTAACAGATCAGACAAGACGTCAAAATGTGGTTAAGAAAATGTGTGACACACTCACCTCATGGCTTGCGTGACACTTTCTTTATTCTTACCACATTTTGACACTGTCATCTCTGGTCAGTAGAGAGATGAATGGTAACATGACATGACAATCAGTTTCAATGTGGTTTTCTTACTGTAACAGCTCACTGTTTATAAGTTCAGCTGGGTTTATTACCAAAATAGTAACCTCATAGCAAACAGTTATCCACTCATAACAAAAAACAGACCATTAAATATTCATTTCAATTAACCAGCAGTTTTGATCTTGAAAGTCTTCTGCTTCTCTCCTCACCCATCTACAGTTTCAGTAATTTAACACTGACATCAATGAGTCTTACCCAGCCAACCTTGCAATGATTCCGTGGAACCCCACCTTATAGCCACCCCATTAATATGGCCACCCTCTTAAATTGGCCACCTCATTATTACGGCCACCTTGTTTTTACGGTCACCTCATTATTACAGCCACCTCGTTGTTACGGCCACCTCATTATTACAACCACCTTATTATTACAGCCACCTCCTTATTACAGCCCCTTTATTCTGGCCCAAAAGAAAAGCTCAGTCTGTCATTTTCTTCATTGAAGAACCCCTATGGCCAGTCCCTGATGATGTAGCCAGATCTTTGAGGCCTGCTGGACTGACCACATTAAGAGTGTTCTACTGTATTTCAACATAAATGTTTTGGGGTGAAGAAAGCTCAGAAAAACTGAATTCTGAATTTTGTTAATAAAATGTTTCATGGTCCACAAGCATTGCCCAGTCAACAAGTAATACACACACACTTACTGTACACTTACCATTCACTTCAGGAATACCCGATTTAGGATCAGATGGTGTGCGCTGCTTTACCAGGGATGATGTACGGGGAAGGGTCGACAGCTTTGTGGGTGAGGACTCTGCACTGACAGAACTGCTAGCCTGAACTGTAAAATACAAAGTAACATGATGATAACAGTTGGTATAATTAGATAAGAGAAAAAGTTACAATATTAAGTATATAAGGCTCTATGATAGTTTGGATGCTATTCATACACTAGGTAACTCTGAGTATTATTCTAGTGCTTTCTTCAAATCTTCTCAGATCATTTAGAAAAGTCCGCATTCAAACCTAATGGCTCATTAAGCTGGCATTCATCCAAGTTTTTTCACATATGGTAAACTGCTCATGTACATAAAAAAAAATGTATGTACATGTACTTAAAAGTTATTCCATAAGTACAATATGTTAGATAGGTAATGAGGTGCGCAGGGCTGAGCTGGCTATAATCATCTCATATCAAACAATTGCGAGTTGAATAATTGTTTCATTAAAAATGCCCCCAAAATATGGAAAACTAAAAAAAATTAATAAAAATAAAAATGCCTAAAAAAAAAAGTATGCATATGATTGCCTTAATTGTAGAGCAATATGGATATAATGGCTTATATAATTATCATGATGGCTAGTTAAGCCAATGAAAGCTCTCGAATTGCATTATACAATGGCCCAGTATTTAATAATTTAAAGTTAAATAACTGTTTCTCATTCAAGACAAACCATACTGTAATTACCTGGGCTTTCCTCGGTGTTGGACGGTTTACGGGCAGTTGAAAAGGATGCTGATCTTATCGGCATGGTTACACTGGATATCTTTGTTCCGCTACCTGTTGAGCCGATTGAGCTACCACTCAACTTTCTCCCTGTACCGCTGCCACTACTATATGTTCGCTGCAATGAGCCTTGCTCACTTGCATCAGATCCACGCTTTAAATACGGATATCTGTCACTTGAGCTCTCGGTATCGCCATTCATCATATAAATTGTTCTCTTACTACGAGATGTCTCATGTGAACTATCAATTCCATTAGTAATATTACCATTGACATATCGACCAAATCTGTCCGAACTTTCCGTGTGCTGCTGCTCATTCCTTGTCTCGTGTGTAGCTTCACTTATTGTATGCACCTGTCGCACTTCTCTTCTTGTGAAGGATTCATTTCTTGCAGTTTCCCACTGCATTCTGGCTACACTTGATCAGCTAAATGGCTGGTGACTTCTGTGTTACAACAAAAACTAGATGCCTGCAAATAGAAAACAAAAACTGACCTCACAATCCAGCAAATTATGAGCAGCATTATTTGACCATGTAAACAAGTTGTATCTCAAGGAAAAGGATCATTTGATTTCAAACAATGCATTGAAAAGAAACATGAGTCTTCTCTCCACAACATGATTTGTGCTGCAACTTACATCAGGCATAAGCATAATATACACATTAAGTTTTCTTTTTGCAAATAAAATTTATTAATCAACACTGTTACCAAATAATGTGTACACCTGCTGTACTTGTATTAATATATAATACTGTGGCATGTTGGATTTCACTTTGGGTTCAAGTGTCAACAGATCTCCAATAGCCTAAAACATGTTTTGATGTCTTCATAAATAGTCAAGTTATCCCATGAAGTCCTGAATGTTACTCTGATCCTCAGGTAAACATGATCTTTAATCATGTTACATGTACTCAAAGAAAAAAATGGTACATGTAGATTGCCCTTCACATTTTCCTCAAGCAAAAACCCCACAAAACCTACTGTAAAGCTCCAAGCTATAGAATAACAAAAGGCAAATGTATGCATGTAACCTGGATTACATGTAGATTTAATGACCCCTCTTGAATAAAATCTGCATCCCAGCAAATTATACATTACCACAAAAATACTTTATTTGAAAAAAAAAAATTACAGACAAATCATTTAAACACCTTGAAGGAATTTTAATAATTAATGGCTACTGGACATCAATCTAAAACAGAAGTTATAATTAAATGTTATATATTTGTATGTAGCCAAATGTAGCAGGTTGAAATCATCATGAGCTATATTTAGAGTGGTCAACAGTTAAACTAAAGCAAATTATACTAATAGAAGTAAAGAGTTGGAATCGTTGGTCCAAGACATTTACTTGCTTCTGAGAGTTTCATGCTTCTTCTGAAGCAATCATCAGGCAACTGTTTACATGTATACATGGATGTATGCTGGTCAATTCAAAGACTGTAATTGGCATAGTATACATATATGTATACGAAGCAAGATTATTTGCTGATAAATTTAGTTACATACATGTATAATGCAAAAACCTTCCTGTCAGTTCAGTTAAATATAAATAAACTTCTCAGAGACAGCAATATTGTAACTTGTTTTCCTAATAAAATTAGACATTTTCAGTCTGGTCAAAAATTATCTGACCACAAGCTGAAACAAATTTAGTTTTAATTTTGCTTGAAAATAGTAAATTGTATTGTTGTACTAGGTGGCAATACTTGGGAAGGAGAGAAGATTGGGATCCTTGTTTACTGAAATGGCTGGATTTAATTTGTAAGTGTTGAAATCATTTGAAGCTAATTTAAAATGAATCTAGCAAATCTTGTAAAACATAACCCCCTGTTTGCCAAAGATAAGACACCTTCTGATCTATGAAACGCTGGAAAAAGAAATCATCTAGGACCAAGAAAATGACCTTACCAAGAAGCTTACCGAAGTCGATTTGATTTTAACACCACGACAATGAACCTAAGTCAAAGTCTGAGGGCAGCGCAGAGCAAAATGAATTCAGTATATTTAAAGATGTCCGCCAACAGAATTTTCCCAGATATTTTGTAGAACATTCTATTTCTCTCTCGGCAGGGTAAATAAAGTCTATAAACATACATAAATAGTACGCCTTCGATGATGGAAAGAGGTCACGACACGGTTTTGTCGTTACGAGGTCGAAGTGGATTTGGATTACGGTAATTATTGGTCATATTTTTAATACAAAATAGGCTTACGCTTATTAAAAAAGCTTAAGCTAAAATATTTATGAAGTCAAGAAACATCTGTCGGAAAATCTATCCCGAATGAGTATATTCCGTGTGGGAAATGAAGCAAATAAACGTGTTTGGCAAAACACATAATCTGTATCAAACATGAATCGAACAAACGATCAAGCTACATTATTCCAAAATGACAGCTCGAAAAAACTTTTTACACCCCCGAGTCGCTACCGCGAATTAACTGATATTGCAGCCTTGAATTCGCCCAGTTATCCACACTAACTGAAAGTTTTAAACTAAGTCGGCAGTCGAGTCGTTTGAAAATATATATCGAGCTCTCAATAGCCTGCCAGAGGGCTCCCGAAAATTAACCTGGAGTGGTACATGTAAGCTTATATACATTTAAAAGGTAAATTTATAAAATTTATAAACAAGTTACTTTATAATAAAACTCCAAACCGAACGCAAGCGACCAGGTTTGATAACCTTCTTTAAGCAATGTTTCGCTCGAATGAACTGCTGTTATATTGATATTGTTTATGCACAATTGCAACGAACTATCGCGAAAACTACATTTGTAATACCCTTGCCCCGCTCAGTTCAAAGTTTTAATTAAAACCGCCAAAAAAAGAAACGATCTGGCACTCACGGAAAGCAAAGTATATCGAAAAAACTTGCAATGTAGTCCAATAAGATAACAAGATACGTTAGTTACGCATAACAGATTACCTTCTCCGTGTAGAAAACCCACTGACGACGCGACAGAAATGTTTCTCCCGCCGAACACAAAATCTTCTTCAAGGGCCTCTCTGAACAAGTAAACTTTGCTACTCGCGCCAGACAAGGCGTTTTAAATTTCTTGACAGCTAGCACATATCGAATAACACCGCAGATTAACGCCTGACCCGCAAAAGCCCGCCAAGAATCGACAGTATTCGACCTTGTTTACAATAATAAGAGCCAGAAACTGTTTGTTTTGAAAGTGCTCAAGTTTACGTTTCCGTCGCCATCTTGGATTTAGCCTGAAGGGCGCGGTTACGTTACTGGAGCAAATTAATAACAGGGGAGGGGAAAGGAAAGTTTGTCCTTACGCGCAAATGGTAAAGAAAATTACTAGTCTGCTCAATGATACCACCCGCAAAATATAAATCATGTTTAGACTAGAATGCCACATAATTTCTCCTATTGGCTAGAAGCCTTGGTTAAGGTCTAACAACAATGAATAATAATCAATTCTCGACTTTTTTTTTTAGTATTACAACGGTGTAATTAAACACGCACTGTAGAATTACAAACAGAAGTTGTTTTACTATTGGACATTTTAAAACGGATTTGATCGATAAATACGTCACATTTCAGTCAAAATAATCATATGTCACATTATCTACTAAGACATAGCTAAACGGAATCGAACTACTCAAGTTGATTTAAGTTGACTTGACTATAAACCTTTTTACTACAGCAATATTAAATAGATGTCTATAAATTTATATTTATCAGTCGCTCCAGATTTTTCTGATTCCACTGAAAAGAGTAAAATACTTGTTTAAAAAATATTGAATCTCGTTGTATAAACGGACGACCTCTTTCCGCAATATCGGCGTTTAATCCGCACTACGATTCGCCGGAAATTTTTTTTCTCCTGTGAAAGATAAAGACCACCTTTTGTTGTAAGTTGAAGGTCGTGGGACCGATGCGGCCAATTGCAACAATTGAAAACGGGGTTTTCCCACGGTACCCACCAAGTCTGCAAAACTACAAACTCAAGCAAGACTCGTTTAGACAATAACATGCCTCTCAGAACGCCCAGAGCTTATGCCACTCCTGGGACAAAGTGAACAAAAGTGACAATTTCTTTACATTCTTTGATCTTCTTTGTGAAACTTAATTGTCAGAAAACGTCACATCCCAATAGAAGCTTAAAGAACATTATTAATCATAATTCAAAAGAATAAACTTGATTTGAAATGCTTCGGTCTGATAATACAACATCGATCAACTTTGGAAGAAGTAGTAACTGTTAAACATTGTGAAAGAATTCTTTTTAATGTTCTAAAAATGTTATCTCTATATTGTTAATTTCGAGTAGGTTTGACTTAAGTACGCTGTTAAAAATAATACACTGGGAATTTCGACAATTTGTAATCTGCTTAATTCATACTGAGAGGGAAACCAAATTATTCTAGCAAACTTACTTGGGAGAAGTTCTAAAACATTTGTGCTAAAGTGAAGGAAAAACCTCATCTATGCCTTCTTGATACTTCAACTTCGAAATCTGTTTAAATATGCCACATTCTTTAATTTAAATGGCAAACTGTCTAGTGCAAACATTTGTTGACCGGTCTCACTTCAATAGTTTCGCTCCTTATCGACTAAACTGTTCCCGTTTGAACTCTCTTGGCCAAGATTGCAACCTCTATCCTCGAGCCAACTTTAAGGTTGCTGGCCCCTGGCAACCAAATTCAGAGCATTACACGGTGAAGTAAACGGAACCCGCTTAGATTTCAATCATGTCAAATGCACTGGGTTAAAGTTGATTTTATGCATAATAGCGTGGGAATTGTACTGAACTAAATGTTACCTCGTTTCTTCTTTGTAGTTTATAGAACGTCAGTTTTCGACATCAACTGCATAGCTAAACACTGTCTTACCTGATAAAGTACTTGTACGTTGTCAATGCACGAATTTAGGTCGCTTTTTCACAGAAGTTTTGCCTCATGGAAATTTTATTCCCGTAGGTGGAGTGAGTCACAAAGTTAGACGCTAGATTCCTATGCATTTTTCATGAGCCGATTAGATTTACCACAAAGCACTTGCTGTGCGACAACTGGTTGTCTACCACTCCAGGTAAAATTTGTCATTGCTCAATTTTTATAGTTCGGTCTGTGTGAAATCTCACCCATTGCAAGAGATGATTTCAACGCATCAACTGGGAGTGGAATTTAACCAAATATTGACTTTCCCATGTAGTGAAAATGCTAATACAGTCGATTCAATCGCTGCTAATTGAATCAACAGATATTTGATCAACAGACATGTAGCCATTTTTAGTGATGACAATTCATTATCTTGAGAAAATTATTTCAGAAAGTAAAATACTCAAAAAGAAGAATATGGTGCATAAAACTGCCGTTTTGTGGAATGAAGGCACAATTCAGAGTAGCAATCATGATATTTGCTGGCACTGGTAATATTTCGCAATTGCTATCTGGGTTTCCTTATGTACACCTGCACATTAATAAACTAACGAGTGTTCTAATTGGATTGGCAGCATAAAAACATCTCTTGGGTTAACCGCCGCAAAGAAAAACTCTGGCCCTGGCTAACGGCTTTAAGTTACGTTGCGAAGAAAAATTCTTAGTTTCTTCTTGTAACATTTTCATCTATTTACGCACACGTGTGGGAACTTTATCAGCAGCTACCTGTAAATAAATGACCGAAATATCAAATGTAGTAATACATAGTTTGGAATATGCTAATGAATTCACTTCTACGCATCTCTCTCCCTGTCAGACGGAACGCACAATTCTCTTCCCTACTGAGTTCCCGTGAAGTTGGCTGTGAATATTCAACGTTCATGCCGAGTTATAGACGAACCGCATAATACGAGACAAAAAGAATACATTTAGTACGGCATATGATGGAATTATGCCATATGAGATTTACATGGAGTAGTTATTCCGAATAGTTATACAAAGTTATACTACTCGAACTGATTCAATACATAAAATTTATTCGACAGTCGGAGTCAAAAAAATTGACGAATATGAGTGAAAACTGAGCCTTCGACAGCTGAAGGTTCCAGAATTGAAATAGTTACAACCGAGTGATCCTGTCATTTCAAGCAATCTGATTGGTTCGTTCTCACGAAGCTTGTTCCAAAGATTTAATTGAAAGTAAATAAGAACTAATTATACGTTATTGTAATTCCTAATTTCGTAAACAAAAATGCGATAATAAACACCTACGCGTTTGTTTTGAAGTTGTAAATTAAATTGCAAGACGATTAGCCGAACTGTAAGTATTCTGAGCGAAGAGAGTGTTCAATGCCATAAATTGAAAATAACCTGGGACAATTATTAGCACGTGTTTAGAGGCTGAAATATATCGTGTTTGAATAAGGCCAGGAGATTGGAATGAACTTGCTTCATTTTCTTGTTAAAAACAAAACACAACAACAACAGAAGTGGTGAGAGCGAAGAAATATCTACCAAACTGATATAAAATACAGATTAAAAAGATTTGTGAAAATATCACCAAAATGGCAATTCTGATTTGTTTACAGCAAGTCGCAAAAATCAATTTGAAGCAGTGTAGTAAATGGAATCTTCGCATATTATCCAATTACATTTGTACATCGGGTGGTATATACTTGGCAATATAACACTGTTCGTGGAAATAACGAACTGGACAACCTTTGGATAGTTTAATAAACGGGACACATTAAGGACTTAGCCAAATTCGTATTAAAAACGCTTTCTATTAGCTATCGGTTAGTAACTGTGACAGAATGTTTAGAATATTGAGTAGCAGCTTGGTAAATATCCAACCACTGTAAGAACACTGTTTACTTCGATTTTGAGGGATATTTTCCAAACACAAGGTAACAACAAGAGTTTACAACAATAAAAAGCGATATTTCTCCCGTTATGCTAAAAAGATTTTGTATTGAGATTATTTAAATATGTTAAGTTATTTATTTGTTTATTTGGGTAAAAGATAAAAATGTAATAATATAAATAAAATTATTTTTATATGGGGGCATTTTGCTATCGACGTGTTCACTGTTTTAAGATCTGCTTAAGATTACAAACGCTGTTGGAATTTCGGTATAAAACAAAACATGAGAAAAAAAAGAAACTCTGAAACCTCAAAAATAAACTCCTTTTTCTTTTGTTGATGGTGGTTCAATAACTTCGACACACTAAACGATTTAAACCTAAGTCGTAGGTATTTTTTCCTGTCAAGGTAGCAGCTTGAAGTCGACTGGATTTTGATTGAAGGTCATTTTTTTCTTGATCTTTCTAAAACACCCCGTCATATCTTGACATACCATATGTTATGATCCACTGATAATAAAGATTGCTACCTACTGTTTCGGAAAGACAAACATTGCGTTAGCTAACATTTTCAAACACAGACCAAAACTCAAAATTTAACGCAGTTTCGATAGATGCATAAGCTTGTAATTTGTGGGCATAGAGCTCAAGGCAATTATCATTGGGTCTGATGTTGAAATAACACCAAAATCTGATCTCCTGGTTGAGATGTATATTCAAGTAGAAACGTGTTTACACAAGCTCATTGAAGCAAAACACAAGCCGGAAGGAAGTTTAAAATCTTTATAGCTCAACATTCAATTCATAAAATTTTATGACTCCAAAATACGCCGAGAAATTGCTAATACTAATACGGAAAGTCCTCATAGGTCGGCAAATTTTCGTTCCTGCGTGCCTTTAACATGTTCTAGAAGACCTACCTACCAAGTTATCTGCATAATTTACATGTTTTGGTAGTTGTTAAAAGAAATACGTCAGCAATTTTGTTGTTATCAAACCCCACCCATTTCTTAATAAAGATTATATTAGTCTGATAAGCTAGCATATATGATAATCGATTCCTATCTTTTCTAATGTGTATGAAAGACTGACCTTTACTGAAATCTGAGGTGAAGTTTAACTAATTACAGTTAGCTGATAAATTTCGTAAGCTATACAGTCGAGTAATAACTCTCGAATAAATCACAAAAAAATCTGGGAGGATGAGAACCGATACGAAGAAGTAAACAAAACAAAACTGAGGCGAAAACAATCTTTTTTTGTTTTAAAGCTTTCTTCATTTTAACGGCTTTGCCCTTTTCCTGTGCAAGATATTATCGCAAATCCACATTTTTCTTCTAATTTTTGTCTGATTAGGTCTCGGCAAGAAAGACAAATTTGACCCCCAATCATGATTTATGCGGAGCAATTGTTAATTCTCGTTTCATAATGGACAAGGTAATGTATTAACGAAAAACAAGACAACTAAACACTTTTTTCCGTTTTCACATAGCCTCGTCTAAATACGGCGGGGGGGGGGAGGGGTTGCAAGAATTCGAAACAGGTATGCAAACCCGAGAATTCTCCCAACCTCACGAGTATTTTAATGATACAATGTAAAAACGGAAAAAGTCCTCTACTGCTTTTATTAAACATTTCTTGTCACAAGCGTGTTTACATACT